AACGAATAAATGAACGAACAAACGTTCCTTAGTCTTAACGAACGAACTTCGAAGTTTTTCTCTGTTATCGCTAAGGGGTTTCGACAAACAAGCCGTACAACAATCGCGACACTGACTTCTGTTGGGAGCCATATTTCCCGGCTCCCACAACCATCCGTCACCCTATTCATTGGGCGGTTTACTCACAAAGTGAGGGAACGAAAAGCCGACATCCGGGGCCATAACCGGGTTGGTGGACCACTGGTAGTTCACCTAGAAGAGTTGGCCAAAAACCCTGATTCCAAACCAACCAAGAAGAGGCGTACGAACCACACACCCACATCCTCCTCGGTGTGACAGTGGTCACCGGCTCGATTGAGCATAAAGGTGTATTGATCACCTTAGACGTTTGACCTCGTCCATGGGCGAACGATCCAATGAACTGGACAGCGGCTCCCAATGGATTGCGGTTTTTGCACACCGCCCTGCTGACTTGCAGGTCGGGCTTTAGGCAGAGGAAGGATCCCGTTGTAGATTGCTCAAGAAAATTCACCTGCCTGGCCTGGGCAACTTAACAGTATCCCCCCCCCCATATGCAAATCATGGAACGTTTTTTTCCATAAAGATTATTTTGGCACAGTCTGGATTCAGACGTGTGTGAGAAATATGAAAAAATGCACCTCTATTGCCTCCGAGTGGATTATGTAGGGGGATCGGCGTCCGATCGTTCAGGATGTAGGTCTTTATCCATCGATATGTTCTTCGCCGAAGAGCAACTCCGCTGTACTGTTCTTTATACTAATCGCTTTCGCTCTTTGATTTCATATTATGTACTCTTGTTGGAAGATTGTGGCATTCTGGCACTGCGTTTCTTGCTTCGTCGTTCCAGTTAGTTGTAGGGTTCATCCACTGTACAACTGATGAGCTAACCAAACTATTCTGTCCTGGTATTCATCCTCTAAATGCCCACTGAAAACGTCACGCTGTTTGAACAGCTTGTTATAAATCCACAAGGCAGTAACGGGACGAGGAGGGTTATATATTGCGAGCAACGGTTAAGGTATCGGTAAATTGGCACTCAAACAAAAAAATGTTTTATGTGCAACAGGTCTTCAGAATTCCCACAGACACACAGGATAATTAATGGAACGGTCCGACAGTAGATGCATATTTTCCGTGGTCACAAAAGTAAATCCTTTGATCCATTCGCAAATCTGTTGGATCTGATAACCGTTTTTTGGTGCATACAAACTACTCACAGATGTGCGTAGTACCTCACAACAGGCTTGTGGTTTATCTTGCACGTAGTTAATATTATAGTTACCGAATAGTTATCAAACAGTCGACTATTTGCGTTTTGACGATGTGGCTGAGTTCGGTTGGTGAGTAGTTTGGACCTACGGGTTTCTCCTAGTTTGGAGCGTGATAATGAATTCAATTTTTAAAAACCACTATTTATTTATTTCATTCATGTAACCGGCCGAAGGGATAAGTCCGTAGTCAGCACTTACTATTAGGTTATGAGAACCGATGACCCAATACATCGGACATGCAGTGTAAAATTACTCAAGGCTCCATTTTGTATTTATCCTAATGACAACGAAGCTAAACACTAACAGCTCTCGATGGCGGTAGCTGGATCTCAAGCGATAAAGCTCGTTTCAGTCATAAGTGCGGCTAGCAATTACTTCAATACAGAATAGCTATTTTTCAACTATCCATCCGGTCGATTATTGAAGGACTGCTCGATCGATACACCCGCCAAGTTGACAAAATTCTTGGGCTCTATGGAAGAAGGAACAGGTTCCGGCTGAATGGCGTGAATCGATGATGGTACCGACTTACAAGAAGGGCGACAGGTCCTCTTATGAAAACCACGGAGGAATAAGTTTAATTAGCATTGCCTCTAAACCTCTCGTTGGCATCATACTCCGTCGATTGTCTGCCGCTCGTGAGGAGTGCACACGTGAGAACCAGACTGGTTTTAGACCTGGTCGAGGTTGTATCGACCAC